GAGGTTAACGTGAGTAGTTAATAGAAGATTCCGGTGGATAAGGAATCCGGTAACCGGGATTCCATCAGCTGAGGCGCCGGTAATTCTGGCCATTGCCAGAGCTTTACTTGAGAAAATGGCGCCCTTCATTCTTTCTGACTTGCTTACTCCTTTGCAGAAACACCATGACTCTCTTAAACCACCCATATTTCTTTTTCTTTTTTCTTTTAAATTATCAACGCTTCGACGAGTCAGAGAAATGGGGTTCTGGTTGTTTTATCAAAGGGCTGGATCTGGAGATAGTGACATTGAAGTATTGAAGGTGTCGGAGTAGAAAAGTACTGGAATGTGAAGTGTTTGAAAGTATGCTTCACTGAGAACAAAAATGGAGAAAAGAAATAGAGCGCCAGGAAGTGAAAGGGGGGTGGGGGGATACGAGATGGTCGTCAAATGAGTAAAGGGGAATGGGATATGGAGAACTGGAGTTTGGAGGTGTGTTTTTTGAGCTGGAATCTGCCTCTGTGAAAAATGGTGCGAGATAGCTGAGTTGATTATGTTATAAACGCTGTTATTATAATTACTTTACCATTTGTTATTTTTTTAGAAATGTACTATTTATATTCTTAACTAATTTAATATTTAAATTTATCTTTTTATAACACGATACCTACATTTATTAGTATATTTATATTTGTTGTATATAACTTATGTGATATAAATTCAGAATTGGTTAGAAAAATACATGTATCGCATTTATAGAAGTGATAATTTTATATATCTAATGAGTAAAAATGATAAAAATATGTATTAAATTGATTTAAAAAAATATCACATTTATAAAAAATATAATATTATATTATAAAATTCCATTACGATTTCAACATTAATTATTAAATAAATAATCGATTACATAAAAAACCAAACGATAGTTGCATTCATATTTTTAATTAAATTAATTTAAATATCAAAATGGACAAAGCAACGAATATCAAAAGACAATAAGATTAAGCAAGGGCAACTGCTTTCTAGGGGACCATTCAGTCTTTTCAGACAATTATTTTTAGTACCAGTTTGTGTTCTCATTTTATTTTGGGTAAACTACACGTATGCTAAATTAACTTTACTCTCTTCTATTTTCATCGTACTTTTAATTTTTTTTAATTTACTCAATGAACTTTAGAGATTATTTTTTGTCACTATGTATTAAATAATTAACTGCGTTATAATATGGCGTATTTTAATCAAAAAGATATCTTTTAGTCTAAAATCTAATTTTTTACGGATAGAAAACGATGTCATTTTGATGTAAGTTGTCATATCATAATGTCGTTTAATTATTTAATAACAAGTGTCAAAAAAATTCAATCTGTAAACTTCAATGAGTAAATTAAAATTTAAAAAATACAGTGAGTGAAATAGGAGAGAGTAAAGTTTAATGCACCCTTTTATTTTAGGCAAGGAATTAGGAAAAGTTTGCTTGCTAATTGCTATAATCTTAAATTGTGTTTTTGCTAAATTTAAACCGAAAATTTTAGAAGCCTAAAATTTGTGTTCTCTTTTTATTTTGGGTAAACTACACATCTGGTAACTAAACTTTACTCTCTCTACACTCTCTCTCCTATTTCACTCATCGTACTTTTAATTTTTTAATTTACTCAATAACTTTATAGGTTAATTTTTTGTCACTATACCGTTAAAGAATTATGCGTTATAATATGGTGTATTTTAATCAAAACGATATCGTTTGTCTAAAATCTAATTTTTAGGGCTAGAAAACGTTGTCATTTTGATGTAAGTTGTCATGTCATAACGTCGTTTAATTATTTAATGACATAGTGACCAAAGAAATTCAATCTATAAACTTCAGTGAGTAAATTGAAATTTTTGAAAGTACATTGAGTGAAATAGGAGAGAGTAAACTTTAGTTACCAAACTTATAGTTTACCCTTTTATTTTAGGCAAGGAATTAGGAAACGTTTGCTTGCTAATTGCTATAATCTTAAAATTGTGTTTTTGCTAAATTTAAACATAAAAATTATAGAAGTTCGTCAAGTGTACGATGTGTACTATTAAATTAATTTATAAAATTAAATCATAAAATATAAATGTATAATTATAAATTAGTTAAAAATTAAATATAATTTAATTAAAATACAATATTTATAAAATATTAGTTTTTATAATCTATTTTAATTATAATTAGATTAAATATTAATTTGAAAATTTATAAACTCTAATTTATTTTCATAGTTTTGAAACCATCGTTGTCGTCGTCGCTATCGCCACTGCCGTCGCCACCGTCACCGTCGTCACTAGGATCATCTTTCGCCGTCAATTTAATCTTTGTCATTCACCGGTGATGAAAGATGATACCAACGACGGCGGTGACGATGACGAAAACTTCAAAATTATGAAAATAAATTATGATATATAATTAAACTGTGATCTAATTATAATTAAAATAAGATTATAAAAACTAATGTTTTATAAATATTGTATTTTAATTAAATTATATTTATATTTTTAATTAATTTATAATTATACGTTTAATACTTTATGATTTAACGTTTTATAAATTAATTTATAAAACTTTTGTACAATAATATTATACATTTTATTATAGGGTAAAGTACGTCGATAGTCCTTATGATTTCAGTATGACCGACTTTGGTCACTCAAAAAAATTAGAGAAAAATGATACCTAACGTCATTGTCCGTCCAATTTAAATTCATCCGCCTTTAACTTCGTTAACCCCGTTAACGAATTTATTTTGTGATAATTAAAAAATAATAAAACCACGTGGTCCCCACCACCCCTTCATCTACTTCTTCCTCTTCCCCATTAACCACCCAGCATAATTTCAGATAAAACCATGCAAATAAATAAATAAACAGTAACAAAAAACCCCATGTCGCGCTCTGGTTCTTGGTCCTTCTCCGACGAACATTGCTACACCTTTTTCGTTAGTAGGTTCAAAGTCTATCGATTTAAGGCTATAAAATATGGCCAAACCTTTCACCCGACTGTGAGAGTGAGCTAGCAGCAGAGGAGCACTGAATAAAAAAAAACCTAAGCGATGAGAGGAATCGGAGGGCCTTTGCTTACTGTGGGGGATCTGTTTAGCGACGTTGGGGAAGAATCCGGTAAAGCAAGAGAACACCATCAGATGTCAGTGTTCCATCACCCTCAATTCTTGATTCGATTGATGCCTCTTCTCAATCCCTGGACCTCCTCAAACTCTTCCAGGTTCCTTTCTTGTTCCTCGATATTCACAAGACCATATTTTAATTCCTTTTTTATAGATATTTTTATGTTTTGTTCTAGCAAAATTTTATTGCTTGAATCAAGTTGAGTTGTTGAAAATATCTAAAAACTTTTGCAATTGATCCAATACTTTGGAATCTAAAGTAAACCTTTCAATGTCTGACGAAAATTACTAAAAAAATCAGGGTATTTTCTATTCCTTTAATATGTTAAAACTGTTTCAGCAGTTTTTCTTGTTAGCGTGGTGCGGTGGCCATAGCTACGAGGGTACTTCATGGGTGGCTAGCAATGGAACTCTGTTTGTTATGATAGACTTGATGAATCTGAATCTTGTTTTGGTGGATATGGTGACGGAGACGGCATGGGTGGAAGGTTTAAGAGTTTACGCTCGAGAAAAAGAAGGAAAAAAAAGGCTTATGAGTTTAAGCTCACGTGGATTTTTTTATATATTTTATTTCTCACGTAATATTTCCATTAAAAGTTAATGGGAGTTAACAGAAGAGATCTAAAATTAAACAAATCGATAACGTAAGAGATTATTTCCCTTTAAAATTTTTTTTGACCAAAATCAGTCATACCGAAAACAAGTATCAACATAGTTTAACCTCTTATTATATATATCTATATATATCTTTTAAGAAAAGGCAATAATCCCATAACAGGATATTTATTTATTTATATACAACAAATTTGATTCGAATATATCGTTTATGATCGCTTGATCCGAACATAACAAAAATAAAATCAGATGTAATATGAATAAAAATTTAAATGTAAACGTATTTTTAAAATCTATATGAATATAGAGGAAACAATACGATCAAGCGTACACAAATTATCCAAGTGAAGGCTGCAACCATAATTAGTGGTTGTCTGAAAAGTGAAAAATCTTCACGAATCACTCCACTTTCTGAAGAGATTTTAATTATTTTTTATTAAGCACATGAACGAACATGTTAAAGAAAGGATTTTTCCTTTCTTTTCTTTTTAAAACTTTATATTTTTTCTCAGACATGAATAAGCTGTCAGTGGAACAAAACATGCGATACGTAATAATTGCATGGAAAAATGTTAGGGTTCATAAGAATTTTTGTATCAAAGAACAAAGATGTTGAATATCCATTTTATAAATTCATTTATTTAAGAAAGAAAAAAACATGAAAAATACTTTTTTACCCTAATGAAATATGAGATCTCTATCACAATTCAACAAATACAATGGCAAGTAACATGGAAGAAGTTAAAACTACTTATGAGGAAAGCCGTAGCATTAAAGTTCGTGTTTCGATTTCTAAATCAACTTGTGTGTGTCGGATATGACAGCAACTGGTACGGATATGGTTAGATTTTTCTAAATTTTCACATATTTGTAGGATCTTTCGAGGTTATGTTCGAATGAGTGTCAAAAACATATGTATTCAAAAAGAAAGAAGAATCCGAGCAACATAGGAGACCGATTCCTTTATGGATTTAGGCTAGAGTGGATCATATCAAATAGAGGTCAAAGAATCCAATATACGATGAACAATGAAGTCCTGTCCAGATTTTCAACGTGTTCTATTGATGGGAAAATCACTCAACAAATATAACTAAAAGAAATGTTGCAAGTAGCCAATCTATGAGAGCTGAAAATAATGATAACTCGTTTCTTTTACCAAATTTACTCCTCATTGTTAGACACAAAAGCAATGTAATTCTTCTATGAAAGTTGTGCAAACTTTGAAGTTAGTTCCCAATTTGTACCTTTTCTCTCATTTGGGTCTGAGAAGAGATATTATGGAGCAACCATCAATCGGAACCAACATCAACGCCCTTTTTTTTCAGAAAATCCTTGGCTTCGGCAATATCCTGTAATCATACCACAACATTCGAGCTTCTCAAAGGATGTTAAGATGAAAATTTATGTCCCACTCTAAAGCCTAGTAGATATTACAATACTCTGCCTAAAAACTTATTAGAAAAACAAGAGAGGAAACGGAAGGGGAGGTCGTACGTGAAGAAAACAAGACAGAGAGAAGCAAAATACCTTCTGCAGCAGCAATGCTTCTTGAGGGCAAGTAGGGAATCGCATTAGACCAACTCCAACCATTAATAAACCATAGCATCCAAGTGATACAATAAAATAGATTGGGAGCTGGAAAAAATTGTAGTACAAAGTGGCAAATGCATTGGAATAAGTCGCCATAGATAAAACAGAACATCAAAGCAAAGAAAGAAACTCACCAACCAAGTATGGGTTCGTGGTATTATGGATGCCTGCAAGAGGCCTATCCAAAGTGCTGAGATTACCACCAGCAGAGAGAAAAGCTTTAGAACATGCTTCATTGGAGTTGCAATGCAAATTAGCTCAGAAGTCCTGATTTTATTTCAAACAACTTGAACCTTTAAACAGATAAAGAAAAATTGTGCAGCTGAAAAACGAAATGCATAAGCAATGAGAAGCTAAACTGTGAAAAGTAGACAAAATCACAGAGAAAGGAATTCTTGAGATAAACAGAAACAATAATAAGTTTGTGTACTCTTCATTATCGGTTGGGAAAGAAAAACGAAAACACGAGTAGAACAAAAGTAACCACTAACATGCTCAACAAATAAACAAAGGTCTTACTGAAATCGTTAACGGATTGTATTAACAAGTGCCCTAAGCACACTCATCAAAGTTACTATACAGTTCCTATATAAATTGTAAATGATAAGTTATCAACTACTACATTCCATATAAGATTATGACTATAAAATAGTATATTAACTAACTTGAAAGAGTTACTTAGGGGCATTCGTTAGCAAACCCATCTTTAAAATATCTAGTTTACTCTAATCTGACCCTTCTTTAATATCAGTAGTAACAAAGTTTTTATGGTCCAAAGAGAACAAAAGAAGAAGAAAATGCTATTAGACATGGCCATTCCAGAAACAATTTTCACATTAAGAAATACAAACATGGAAAGAAAAACAAATTAAGTATTTATTGCCAATGGAAGAAATGAAGCAGAAATGTTGTTTAGTAATTATTCCATGATCGTGTAACTCAAAGCTCTAGCTCAAAACGTACCCATCATCAGCTGGCAAACTCACGTAAAGGGATCAGCTATTTCTCAAATCTATGTTAGTAAGCTAAACACCTAAAACCAATTTAAATGATGGAAAATAAACGCCCACGAGAAAAGAAAAGCAACCCAAACAAACAGATCGAAATTCAGCCATATAGATAATAAAAAATCTTTTTTTTCTCAAAGTACAATTTGCTTTTTGCATCGAATGAACCCAAAGCCAATGATGAAATTCTCCTTAAAAAAATCATTTGGAAGTTTCAATTTATGACTGCTGTTTCCTCAATCAATTAAAAAATCAGATAGAATAACGAGTAAATCGAGTGGTTAAAGAATATACCTTTGACGAGAGAGGGGAAGAGTCAATTGGTTCGGCAGCCGAAGGAAAAAAAAGAAGAAAATCGAGCAGGAAAGCAAGACAATAAGCACAGAGAGAGAGAGAGAGAGAGAGAGAGAGAGAGAGAGAGAGAGAGAGAAGTATTTTCAACTGGTTTGGTTACCTCGTATGCACAGCCATGAAACTTGGGTCATTTGGGCTCCAATTTGATTTTGAAGAAAGCAAAAGAATAAAGAAACCAAAGCTGAGCTTTTATCGAATAGAAAGGCGCCGAAGTTGGATATTTTAAGCTTTGGGCTTTAGATTATTTTAGCCTTATTAAAAAAAAGCACACGGTGGGTAATTATGAAATCTGATAAATCTTAGAAGGTAAACTGAAACCGGAGCGGACAAACCTTCCTGCAAACTCCGATATCCTTCTCATTATTTGAACAAGCCATTCAATCAATCAATAATTCAATCGAAACCGACATTGACCTATGGGGACGACGGGTGAGAGCGACGTGGAGGCGGGATTTGCCAAGCTACAAGAGGAAGACGACAGAGCCTAGGAGGCGGTATGAACATTTCCCTCCACCACGCCCGCATCTTCTACGACTATAGCTCTATCTTAACATGGTATCAGTCGCTGTTTCCTGGAGGTTTGACTTTCGCTGTGTAATTCTATGTTACTGGTTTGATCGACTGCTCGCAAATAATGCGTCTGCTCAGGTGTGTTACTTCTGACTTGTTGTTATGGTGGTAGTTATGGTTGATCCACAAGTAGTCTCTCCGATGAATTCACCTGGGAATTCCTCGAGTCTTCCTTCTATTCTCTTTTCTGTTCAGCATATTCCCAAACATGATATAGTTAAACTGGCTGAAAATACATATTTACTTTGGAAGCATCAATTAGCACTTATACTAGATGGTTATGACTTAATGAAATATATTTCTTCTGATAGTGTTGTTCCGAGTGAGTGGATTACAAATGATTCTGGTCAAGTTGAGGAAAATCCAGCGTTTGTTGTGTATAGGTAGCAAGATAAGTTGCTAGCCTCTTGGTTGTTAACAACAATTAGTGTGAATGTTTTACCTCATCTCACAGGGTTAATGTCTTCCCTTACTATTTGGAATGCCATTGCACGACTGTTTGGTGCCAAATCTAGTGCTAAGATCTCTGCACTTTGACATAGTTTGCACTCACAAAGGAAAGCTGGATTATCTGTAAGTGAATATTTGGAAAAGATAAAATCTGTTTGTGATATGTTAAATGCAGCATGGTGTGTTGTTACTGAGCAGGAGCAGGTGAGTGTTGTGCTTGTTGGGTTGTCTATGGAGTTTGAATCCATTATTGCTATTGCTTCTCGTGATACTTTGTCCTTAGATGCTTTGACTGAAATGTTTCTTGACTGTGAAGCTCGACATAAGATGTTTCTTAGTGATGGTCTTTCAGCCAACATGGTGGTTCATTCGAATGATACTCGTGCTGATGATGTGCCAGTTAAGGTTTCCACTGATGAAGAGATAACTGAGAAACAATCTTCTCAGGCAAGAGGGCAACAAGGCAATAGCTATCGTGGGAGAGGTCGAGGACGATTTAATGGCTCAAATCGACCTCAGTGTCAGCTGTGTGGTAAGTTTGGACATACTGTTAAAAAATGTTATCATCGGTTTGATAGGGACTTCACCGGTATTACTGTTGGTGAGTCTCTACATAACGATATTGCGAAGAAATCTTTGAGTATGAATGCTGATAACCTTTTTTCTCATTCGTTTTCACCTCGAATGCAAGCTTATACACATTATATGCCATCTCTTTATCCAGCTGGTTTTATGTATCCATCCACTGTGTATCCTGGTACTTTAGGAATGTCAGCACCATTTTATCATGGTTTACCATATGCATCATTTACTTCTTTGCTTGTTGATACTCGGTTCAGCAATTCTCCTCAAAATGTGTCATCAGCAGCATTTGTTTCTACATTACCTGCTGCCTCTTCGAATGTATCAAGTCAGTCGACTGCTACGAATGCAATTTGGTACCCAGATACTGGTGCTACTCACCATGTCTCGAATGATTTGTCAGTTTTTGTCTCAGATGTATGGGGACCAGCTCCTTTCACCTCTTCTGATGGTTATGTTTATTATGTGTCGTTTATTGATGTATGCAGTAGATATACATGGCTTTATTTGCTTAAGCGTAAGTCAGAAGTTGCACAATGTTTCATTCATTTCTATAAAATGGTTGAAGTTCAGTTTGGACATAAAATTAAAGCTGTGCAAAGTGATGGTGGAGGTGAATATCAGGCTTTGTATGCATGGTTTCGTGATCATGGCATTCAACATCGACTTTCATGTCCGAGTACTTCAGAACAAAATGGGAAGGCTGAGAGAAAACATAGACATGTGGTTGAAATGGGATTGACTTTGTTGGCTCAATCACATCTGCCACTAAAATTTTGGAGTCATGCCTTTACAGCAGCTGTTTATATGATAAATCGGTTACCAACTGATGTTTTAGATATGGTAAATCTCCTTTTGAGAAACTTTATCAAGTGTTGCCTGACTATTATGATTTGAGAATCTTTGGTTGTGCTTGCTTCCCGTTTCTGAGACCTTTCAATAAACACAAGCTGGAATTTCGTTCTCAGCAATGTGTGTTCCTCGGATATAGTTCATCTCACAAGGGTTATAAGTGCTTGGATGAAAATGGTCGAATTTTGATCTCTCGTCATGTTGTTTTTGATGAGACAATTTTTCCTTATAGTGCATGCAAGGTTGAAAAGTCCAATACTGCTAATGGTGTTTCTAATGGAGTATTGCCTGTGCTTGTTGTTTCACAACAACAATCATCAGTGGACAACGGCAGCAATTCTGAACGTGCTACCTGTGGTTTTGTTGAACAGGAAGCTTTATGGTGTAACTGGTCAAGGGTTGACAAATACCAGTTCTAACCATTTGATCGATAACACTGCTGAATTACCTACTGCTGGTAGTGAACCATGTGCTGCTGAATTGTCTACAGCTGATGCAATTCACTATTTGTTTTTTCTCCCCCTTAAAATTTATTATTTATGCGATTGTTTGATCAAATTTTGTCTTTTGTTATTTCCTGGTAGTTGTCATTAAGGAATTGTAAGAAGAAAATTTTCCATTCTTCAACCATTGCGTTTTAAAGTTTATCATTTTGTAAATATTTAGTTATTGATGATATAAAAACGAATTTGCTTGTTGTTTTAGTATACTTTCGTAAGACAGCAAACGAGTAGAATGGTAGATCTTTGTTTTAGAGATTATCTATCTATATCTGAGTTCTGCTATTACTAGCTCCTTCGTGCATTCTTTTCAATGTTATTCTTCTTGGTTTTTCCGGCCATCATAAACTAGCATTGTTAATTTAATCGTTGTTGCAGCTTTCAAACTATGTTGCTAGATTGAATCTGAACCCTGTTCTAGGTGGTCTTTTGTTTCCTAAGCTTCATTCTTGTTAATATCCTGGTTTAATCTATGTCATCAACTCATCATTTTTCTAGGAGCGTTCCATTGCATTATCCCGTAAATTATCAGCAGTGCTTACCTGCAGCACCTACTGAATCTTGATCTGGTTTCGTAGAATCAAACTAATTCATTGGGTTGTCTTGGCTTTGAGTTATCTTTATTTATTTGGTAGTTAAAGATACTCCTTAGGAATTGCATGGTCTGTACTCTGTAGAACATCAAATGTAGTCATCTTGAAGCTTTAATTAAACTAGTAACTGTGTCTACGTAGAAGAGAGAGCAGAATGTTTGGAACTACTGATTGACACTGGTTTAATACTTTATGGAACCTATACATTGCCGTAATCGGTCAGAGATGATGGGCATAATTTTTGTTTTCTGGCACTTCTTGTTATTCTCTGCTGCCACTTGCGTCCTCATCATTCTTTAGCCTTTCTAACACTATTATCGGCTTCTGTTCTTTTCATCTGACACTCTGTTATTAGGCCTGTTACTTGGTGTTAGTCGGATTATATCTTTTAAACAGAATCATACTATTAACACATCCTGCCTCTCAACCTGAAGGCTGAAAATAAGCAAAGATCTAGTTGCCAAAGTGTTTTATCCGGTTACCATGTAGTCTATTAGGTTTTAGGTTGTAAGTCATGATATATCAGCTATGCATTGCTGTCTCTAACTCTCTATCATTTCAAAAGTTTCTTTAGATTTTTATTGTATCAAAAATTATTTATAAGATTTCATCAACCAGTTCTATTGTTTTCTGGTACCACCCCTCTTTTTTTTTTTTTTGGTCATACACTCTCTCCCACTACCAGTTTTTAATCCTTGGACCTGAGCTTTCATTCCTTAATGCTGTTCTCATTCAGTTCATCAATATTTTCCCCCTTTATATTTTACCTGAACTTGGGAACTAGAGGTTCCTCATTTATTTAGTTAATGGATAATAAATATCGTTTCATTGACATGGTAATATCTGCAGTTCCTGCAGAGAAGAAGGGAGAGGGAAGATCAAGAGTTGACCGTGAATCAGATAATCAACAACTTATGCAGTTGGAAGAAAAGGATGTGGTTTCTTCTGTAGCTACTGTGCTTTCGGATCTTTGTGGTCCTGGAGAATGGATGCCCATGGAGAAACTCCACGCTGAGGTTAGTTTTAAGCTTTGGGTGATTAAAACTCATGTTAATTCCACTCCTTTGGCCATGCATCTATTTACTTTTAATTATTTGTTTTGGTGACGACGCTCCTGTATAGTTGACTTGACTGTAGTCATGTTTTTCTTTTGATTCTCCCCTTATTGCCACGATTTAAAGATTTTGGCATGGAAATAGTTTTCTTCTATATTTTGCTCTGAAATTTTGATAGAGTAGGGGTGCCCTTAAAAGTTAGGTCATTTTCTGCAGATTGATGTCATGTTTACGAAGAGGCCACAAATACAATCTATACTTATTGGGGAAAGAACAGGGAAGAGAGCCCTTGTGAGAGGATGATAATGTCATGATTGATATGTCCTTTTTCTTCTTCTTCTCGTGTTTGTTTCTTTTTACCTCTGCAATTTAGAGCGGGAAACAAGATTTATTCTGTTATGAATTATTGTTTTTAATAGTTCAAGTTATTTTGTCTCCCAACTGCCCTTTGTTTAAAGTGGCTATGAATTCAATGATTTAGTGGTTGTATGATCTCCTTGGCATATTTGCATTGGATGTCTGGAAAGTTAAACAGATCTTTAGAATTACTTTGCCTGCATCTTAGTCTTATGATTTTTGGGGCCTTGATATTTACAAGATTGCTTACTTTCTTGTTACAGTTGGTTGAACAGTTCAGTAATGTCTGCATCACAGCCGAGTTAGAAGATATCTTACATCGGAGGACTGTCCTGGTCCCGAATCCAAGGGGAAACCATGGTATGGTCTGCTTATGTTATTGAGAAAATATCCTGAACACTTTGTCATCAACACGAGATCCAAGGGTCGGATAACGCTGGAATTCGTCTCTTGTATCTTTACTTTCGTAGAGTGGCGGTAACATGAACCGCCCTTTCATGATCATCTTACATACCATGTTTTTGGAAGTCGGAAGCCGCAAATAGTCGTATATGATGATACTGATGTTCTCTCTCTTAGATTCACCCACTTGGAGCTCAGAGCTGTATGCATTTAATATGTACAATTTGGCATCATTTTTCATTTATTATTTTTCTTTTCTTTGGATGAATTCTCTGCTCATTTTATGATGGCTATTAAACATTCCATACAGGGAAAAGCGTCATATTCATTGGCAACACAAAAGATTATTTTTACCCAAAATAGAAATGGAAATTACAATCCTGCCCATGAAGTAGCAATTAAGATTCAAGAATATTGGGAATTATATGAGTCAATAAAAATTGACACGTGTAGTGGGATCACTTGGAATATTTCTGCTACAACTTAGAGAGCAAGGAGAGAGTGTGTATATATGATGTTAACATTCTGACACGAAGTTACCTAAGCGCTCTTCTTTCATTTCATCTTCTTCAGATTATTACTAGTTTCTTTTCAGCAAATCGCATGAAATAGAATGAGTACAGTCAAGGGGTTTAGATTCCACCCAACTGATGAAGAACTCATCGAGTTTCTGCAGATCAAAACCTCCGACCGTGATTCTCTTGTCCAATGTAGTGACGAAGTCCCCGTCATCAGCCGGTGGGAGACTCGGCAACTAGATATACTCTCTCCGGTTTATTCTAAGTGGATCGTACAGAAAAGACTAGAGCACTGTTGAACATGTTGCGACTCCATATACCCAATTAGGTGAAATATATGTGGCTAATGTTTCCTTATGTTTTCGTCCGTACAGTTTTGGTCATCGCATAAAAAAATCAGTTTTGATCCCTTGCGTCATCGGTTTTGTAATGAAACAAAGCTCCTCCTCCTCCTCTCTAAATCTGCAATAAAAGTAACATATTTTATTTATAAGTATTAAATGATAGAAGTTTCCATAGTAAAAAGTCACCTCGATCCTTCTGCCGATCAGCCCCTGAAGTTGAGCTAGAATTGAGCAACGTGCTGGCTTTGGATCCATGATTTTGTTGGGTAACAGCATTGACATTTGTTGGCAAGTGAGAAGAATAGATCACATGCACTTCTAGTTCATGGTATGCCGGAGTAATATCCATAGAGCACCTATTTGACTTGCTCTCCTTCAACTTTCAATGTGCAACTTTCGTTGCCGAAAACTCAGCCTGCTTCTTGGATTTTGCTTCATGCCCGGTTAAAACCTCTCCCTTTACCATCACAATGAAAACAAACATCGATGCATGGGCCTCACCGTATCTTGTTGTAGTGTAAATTGGTAGAAGGCAACCTTCCTTCTGCGCTTGTTCTTGCAACAGGTTCTTGTATAAGCTAGACTATTCCTCAATTCAATGGTATAGACAACATATATGACTGCACCAATTCATGTGTTGTTGCAGATTGATCCGAGACATCGATATGGGCATAAGTTACACTTGTATTATGATTTTTGAGAATCGGGTTCTTAGCTATTCATCATCAGATCTCTAAAAGTAGAGATGAGTAAAAATTAAATCTTGACAAATGTCCGAGAAAAAAAATTACAACAGCAATGCGTCACATACCTTGGACTAGTACGTGTTCATTTGACAGCTTGTTGTATATCTAAAGTTTCTCCATTAATGAAGGTTCTTTAGAATCAAGTAGATGGATTATGGAACGGAATTTCTTTACCTGTAGCTGTAGCAGCTGTAAGAGTTACAATATTGTCAGGTGAACGAACAGTAACAGCGGAGCTCACAACCGAAGCAAGATGGTCACGTTAGGCTCCCATGGCTTCAGCTGCCTCCATGCATTGCGCAGCTACTAACGTTGCTGCTGATGCCACGGCCATGTCGGTATTGGTTGACTGTTCATGTTTTCCCGACGTAGAAGAAGAAGAAGCTGAAGTGGTGGCCACTGCAATGGCTGCTAGGGCAGAGGCAACTGCAGCGACTGATATAGCTGTGTGGAACTATAAGACTTCGGTACTTTATATAGTCACCAAAATATAAGTACTTTATATACTCACAAAAATATAAGTACCGCAGCAACAGTAAGCGGATTAACCGTATAACCAGTGAAGGTTATTGGAAACCCACGGGCAATGCTCAGAAAGTTGTAGACCCTGAAACGGGAAAGGTTATTGGAACCAAGAAAACTTTGGTTTATTACAAGAACCAATGTAATGATAGCAAAATCAAGACTTGTTGGGTCATGCATGAGTATGAACTCAGGGCTGACCCTACCTGCATTGACATCGATCAAGTAAGTCATCGTTTTGTTTCAATTAAATTTGTTCATAAGCTTCATTGCATCAATATCTTGTTTTTAGCTTTTAAGATGTTTGATATTTTGTTTATATCCTTTGATTTGTTGTAGAAAACATGCAATCTTTGTAAACTGAAGAAAAAGGTTGATGTTTCAATCGATGCTGGTCAATTAGGTCAGTATAATATCAGTTTACAAAGATTGATGTTTCAATCTTTGTTGAGAGCTATGTCAGAGAAAGTAGCAATCAACGTAATAAGGTTAGTGAGGATGTAGTCTCTGACTCAAGATGTTAAAAGAATGCAATGGACCTAATGACAATAATGGGACTTAAAATCTGTATAGCATTGTTGAAAAAGATGATAAGTCCTATAGTTCAATTCTTATTGATGTTGATGAAATCGTCACCGAAGAAAGAAGCAACCAACATAGTGTAGTTGTTGCAGTTCCAGGATTTGGAATACCTTCTGGCTTCGAATATCTTGCCGATGATAGAAATCTATTTTTATTAGTCTTTTGTTCATGCAGGTTATGATAAAGATAAAGAGAAGTGAGCTTGTTTTTGTTTTTGTCTGTCTTTGTTTGATGAGTTATTAGAAAAACCAGAGGCAACTAATAACTCTTATTGGATTCAAGATCAATCTATTACCAACAGAGAGGATGATGAGTTCTTGAATTCAATTCTTGTTGATGATGGTGAAGCTTACGTCCAACAAGAAACAGACAGATGTGCCTGCCTGCTGAAAATGAAGCGTTCGGCCTGCCTTGCATAAGTACGATCGAATCATCCGATTCGATAGAGAAACCTAGGAAAAGACTCCACGTGAAGGCAATGTAGAAACTGCTGAGGCTCAAGTTTGCGGAAACATCGCATACCGGAGTAACAAAAGAGCTAGAGGTGCTCGAGGCAAATGCATTAGCTATTGCGGAATGTAAAGAATGTTCCCTTTTTTTTAAAAAAATCTTGGAAGGGTTTTAGTACTGTAAAATAAGTATTACAAGCGATGTTATATGGAACCTAATGGAAGATAACATATGCTATTAAGAATATAACGTTGATGGTTTTCATTTATCGTTTTGCTCTGAAAGTTTGTGCTTTAAAACAAATTTTGATGCTAAATTTGGCGAAGATTTTGAGGTTTTTTTTAGAATGTTCCTCATGAACGAAGCTGGTGTAAGAAGAAGGGTTGAAGTAATAACACAACATTTTAACCATCATCAACATAACGAAACTACAAGGTACATGGGCTGAAACACTGATTTTAACCATGGTTTTCTATGCATGGAAAACATTATACAAATGCAAGCACCAGAGTCAAGTAAAATTACAAACTTCGCTATGAAAATTTTGTCACATTTAGTGTGATCCACTTGGAATATTTGTACTACAACTTAGCTAGCAAGCAAGCAAGGAGAGTATGAACTCAAGGCTGATTCTAACTCCATTAACATAGATCATTTAAGTCATCGTTTCATTTCAATTCAATTTGATCGAAAGCTTCATTGCAGCAATATCTTGCTTTTAGCTTAAGATGTTTGATGTTTCGTTTAATTTTTAGCAGAAAACACTAAATCTTTGTAAACTGAAGAAAAGGGTTGATGATTACGCTGATCGTAATCAATCCAGCGACGTTGAGAGCTATGTTGAAGCAATCAACGCGATGTGGTTAATGAGGATGTAGTCTCTGACGTATCATGTTGTCCAGACGAACGCTCATTTCTCCAGTTCAGGAAACTCTACACCTTAAGGAGATGTCAAAAGAATGCAATGGACACCTAATGATTATAACGGATGATAAGTCCTCTAGCTCAATTCTTAGTAATGTTTATGAAACCGTCACCGTAGAAAGAAGCATACCTGTTGCAGTTAAGGTATTTGGAGTACCTTCTTGCTTCAATTATCTTGCCGATGCAACTTAATTCCGATTGTAGAAATCTATTTTTATTAGTCATGTGTTCATGCAGTGATAAAGATACTAAGAAGTGAGCTTATTTCTGTCTCTGTTCAGACTTTCTATATGATGACGGTTATCGTTTGATGAGTTGTTTGAAGAACCAGAGGCAACTAATTACTGTAATTGGACTCTGAGCTCAAACCATCACCAACATAGAAGATGTTGAGTTTTTGAATTCAATTTTTTCCTGATTATTATGAAGCCTGCCTCCAGAACAGACAGCAGTGCTTGCCTGCTCAAAATGAAGCCGTCAGCTGCTCATTCTTTGATGCGATGGAATCATTTGATTCAATCGAGAATCCTAGAAAAAGATCACGTCTTCTGCAATGATGGCCATGTAGAAACTGCAGAGGCTCAAGTTGGTGTTAGCATCACATACCAGCAGCAAGAAAGAGCCTGACATGCTCAATATAGATGTTAGGAAGCACTGCAGAAAGTAAGTAACGTTCCTTCTATTTATCGTTGAGGAGTTTCCAGACTGTAAAACAAGAATTAGAAGTGACATTATATGTAACCTAATGGTGTCTGAAATATTTACAGCTTGAATTTAAATTATGCTGCTGCTGTTTGCTATTTAGTCTTTGCAGACGATTATGCAGAATTGATGTAATGAAATCTAAACTTTACCATCAATGTAAATCGAACGCATTACTCGTCTCCGAATAGAACTAAGATAAAATACAGGGCCAACTAAGCAAAGGAACCCCTATGTTCTCCCCAATAATATAGCAGATGGAGATAGAGTACAATTGGCATAATTTAATGTGAATAATAAGGATTAATGCTCTTTTTTTTAAATAGAATTTTTTTTAGCAATAATCATTTTGCATGCCTTCGATTAGTCTAATAACAATGGTGCAGGCTGATGATGCAAGTAGTATTTACCACTTATTTGGGATTTAAACACTAGATATCTGCTTACCAGAAGATGATAATAATGAGATTTATCATTGCTTGTTGCCTGAATAGGGGGCCTTTTATACACCCAAAAATGGAGACTCTGCAACTAGAGTTTAGTTACTAAAACCAGATTACTCAGCCTCATTCTTTGGTAGCTGAGAAGCTATTGACTCCTAACTCCTTGTATGCTGTTCCCAGTCACGACCGTCCACTATTTCAGGTTCAGTGCTTTTCTGTGATCCAACCCCGAGCTTTCGCTTGTATTCTGTAATCATCATTCAAAATAGACCCATTGAATGTTATCAAGTGATTACAGCTGAGATAATAAGGATAGAGAAGCAGTACACAAAAGGTTTTTACTTTTATTGGCAATTGAATGTCGAGTATATGCCAAAAACTCATCCCATTTGAACTTTCTAAGCTCTTGTTTTTCCTCCTCTGAAAGCTCAAAGTTAGGCTCTCTTCCACACATGAAAGCGGCTCTACATATAAAAACGTCTATCTATCAACATAGTTACTCAGTAAGACGGTTATATTACCAAAAATCAACGCTAGGAAACCATCTTAGCACATTACAAAATGATAGAAACCAGCACTGTTTACTTACATTCGTTGACAAAATAAAAGCCGGTGAAAACTACTGAAAGCAAACAAACAAAAATTCCAGGCAAATTCAGCTCTTTACTAGTCCTTTAGAGACAAAAAGATAATCACATATACTCACCGCTTTTTCATACATAACATCTTATATTTTTGTGGAATTTGCATATGAGTAGCACTTCATTGTATTTATCATCAATGTGCATGAGCACTTTCAAAGAAATTCATTAATAGCCATGAAGAACGATTTTAACTCATTCCAAGTTAAGCATGAAAATAAATGAACACCATTTGTATGTATCAGACAACAATATATGAAGCTTAAAGGTTTTTGCATTTACATCAAACTAGACAATTACAAGCAAGATAAAAGTCAACTACCTGTCATATAAGCGGGCAGCTTCTTCTTGCGAACCAACAGTGCCCAGGTGAATTTGTTTCTTGTCAACTTTTATTGCAGCCTGCCATTTCATGTTTTTGAAGTATACACCCCTCATTAGACAAGGCTCTTGGTTTTGAACATGCTTCCTTCTGTGTCGCTTCCTTCGTTTGATTGGTTGCCCTATAGATTATAGATTGTACACAGGCATCAGTCAAAATGTAGAAATTAAAACGGCTCATAGCATCAGACTTTGATGCTAATGAGTAATTACATGTTTAAATAAGGAAGTGGCACAACATCAACTCAGTTCCGAGATATATGAGTTCCTCTTTATTCTAACAAAAAGGGGTAAAAGTTAAAACACCGACTCCCACTGAAATTGCTTCTCGATTTATTTCAAGTGTCCTTTTCCAGAAGGAGCACTCTAGGATAGCCTAAAAGGAGATATAAAGGAAAGTCCAAAAATAACATGGCAGTAAAAATGTTGATCATTAAAGAAAAAAGTTAAGAAAATAATGAGAGGAGGGGATAGAGAAAGGAGGAAAAGGCAACAACAAGCCGTAAACAAGTGAAAATTTCAGTTTCAACTATATAAGTGAACAAATGAACATGTGTTTCCAGAGATACAAACCTGGAAATGGTTGATTATGATGGTCTTTTGATGAACCAGAACCAAAACCAGAAATGATTGGTGACCCGCAGCTAACCTTAGCAATGCTTTTCTGAGAGAGCATTAAATAGTTACATTTAAGTATAATCTGTAGTAAAAGACAGAATTGAACAGTGCATGTCTCTTAGCGTTTATCTATCATGAACTTAAGAATCCGAATCATGATTGCTTAATATATTCATTATGAACCTCCATTTTGATGCATGCCAATTAAATAAACTAAAAGAAAAAACACAAAATATTTATTAAAATTCCAAAACAGCAAAGGGTATCCACAAACAGTAAAACCGATTTTGTAATGCGAACAGCTTATTTCCAATTACATGTTCTGGATCAAGAGTGCAATTGGCCAGTATGCCAAATATGTAGGCACTTGAATATCATTTTGATTGACGACTGAATATTTATCCTATGATTCAAGCTCGAAAAGGAACCATGATATGTTAAACAAGTTTTATGGCCCGGGAACCTAGGAATCCTAAGGATCAAATATGTGACAAAGTTGCAAACACAAGAAAAACTACCATCACTACCAATTGCATATTTTCTATCGGTTATGAGTGAAGAAATAATTCTTTCTATTCAACGATTCTCATACAGATCTGTTAAATGAGGCAAAAGGTGAGTAGCACATACACCTACGTTTTCTCATGTAGATCCACCTTTTAGCTCACTAACCACACATGCCACCAATAGATGGCTTGGATGTTCATATAACAATAACTACCAAACCAAACATAAATATTGACCGATCTCATGAAAAGATGCAATTGTAACCCCTGCAATGCAAACACAGATAGCAAAACAATGATGAAGGTAAAATCTAATCTCTACCAGTAATCATCAATAAACACATTCTATGATGTTTACTTAGTTAAATATTACCAAGCCTTTGTAAAATATGGAAATAAAAAAAGACCAAATTCAAATTAGCAGAGATACAAGAGATTGGGGAAATGCACTATGATTTATGATCCGCAATATATATTCCTAAAAATGTCAGATACTGGTTAATAACTAAAAGTGGCTATAGTAATCTTAACATAAATTAATGAGGCACCATTTAGGCAAGCATCCCTAGCCCAAGAGGGAAAAATGGTAAAAAGAATATCAGCAAGCTGCCTGGTTCGTACATGATGGTAAAAAAATCTGTATGCAAACAACTGATACCAGCACACTGATCAATCTTACCATGTGAAACCATTAAATGCCACACCTGATAAATCGATTATTAATGCAAACTTACCATGTGCATGTGGTCGGCAGAATCTGAGTGCATGGGATGCACACTAACTGATTTTGCATTCTGGCTTGAACTTTCAGGGACATTTCCATTATCAAAGAATCTAGAAAGTGGAGTCAAAAAGGAACACTTCCCTACAAAAGGTCACCGAATTTCGTGAATGATATTATTCAATCATAATCTCGAACTTGATTATACTCTATCATAGTTTACTCAATTAGAAAGGCAAACACTTGAAGGACACACTTTATATAACACAATATAGCAAATGTTCCTAATCATTCATATATATCAATAGGAGCAATTAGTTATACAAGATAAAGAACATCTCAACTGAAATTTACCAGAGCAGAGTCTCAGGAGTCTGCGTCTACGTAAGCTCACCATGTTGGCAACCTTTTAATCAGTGAACAATGGCTAAATCGACCGTCCTTTGCATCTATCCATATGCTTGTGCTCCTAAGGTTATCAAAGATGGTGATTTATAAGTGGATTAAACAATTAGAAAATGATGAAAAATGAAGAACTTATTGAAAAATGAACAAGATGGCAGGAAAAAACAGAAGGCTGTTATCGGAAACAGCTTCATAAAATAAGTAAACAGGAACTAAGATATCACCCTATTCTACTTAGCTACATAACAAAATGAGAAAAAGGACGAGACACAAGGAAGGTCATCAAAATTACGAGTCCATGTTAATTTAGACAAGAAATTCAAGGAAAAATAGAATTGCCAGGTGAAAACTCCCAGATGCTAATCAACTTTTTGTTATCAAATACTAATATCAACCACACGTACTATTCGGCAGCCTGAAAACCAACTAGTTTCTCATTACACGCACGTTTGATTTTGATTTCAATAATGTAGGATAGAAAAACAAAGGGGTTAATATCTAACGCCCATGCACGGATTAGATTTCAACTAGAGAAAATAACCTCAGTGACCAAAAATCCCATATAATATACGATTTTAACCAACTTTTTCCGGATTTGCAAAAATGACCAACAAAATCGCAATGCGATCGCTAATTCGCAACGCGATCTCCATTATCGCAAATTCGCGTTGCATTTCGCGTTGCGATAGTTGGAAATCGCGTTGCGATGGTATACAGTGTCGTTGCGATTTTCCCAATTCGCAATGCAAATAAGTAAATCGCAACGCGAATTGGGAAAATCGCAATGCGATACTGACTATCGCAATGCGATACTTACTATCGAAATGCGATAATACAAAATCGCAACGAGATACTGACTTTCGCAACGCGATTCTGACTTTCGCAACGCGATTTACATAGCGCCATTCGTATTAACGCGTATTTTTTTTTTCAAATTCCAAACACGAATTTTTTCTTAATAAATCGGAAACTGAACCGTCACAGTAATCGCAACTCATAACCTCAAACCCAAAATCACAACACTCAGTCTCATCTCCATCTCTCACTCTCTACGGCGAAATCCGTCCCCATCTCCGAAGATTTCCGTCCCCATCGCCGGCGAAATCCCTCACAACCATTCACAGTCAAAAATCCCTCACAATCATTCAGAAATGGAAAATCAACCTCCGAGGGTTAGTTTTTTTATTTTTATTTTGAAATTTTTGCATTATTTTAGGTTTTTCATATTGAGATTGATGATAAGTTTACTGGTAATTTCAATAATAGATTAACCATTTCACTTAGATTTCTTATTAAATTCATTCGATTGCTGCCAATACTGCTAAACTGTTTAGCCTGTGAAGTTAGTATTTGTCTTTGTTTTGTCTTTTGGTTGAAGTAATGCAGAAGAAGAATAGTTTCGAGAATGAAAATCGCAACGCGGAAATAACTATCGCAACGAGAGAATCACAACGCGAAATAAAAAACGCAACGCGAAACAAAAATCGCATTGCGATTTTCATTTCGCGTTGCGATTTTTATTTCGCGGTTGCGATTTTCATTTCGCGTTGCGATTGTCTGGTCGCGATAGTCATTTCGCGTTGCGATTCTATCGTTGCGATAGTCATTTCCGCGTTGCGATTCTCATTATCTCGTTGCGATTTTCATTTCAACCAAAAGACAAAAACAGTGTTGCAAATTTTAGTTTCAAGAATAAACTACTATTTATGTTTATTGTTTTGTTTTTGGTATATCTTGACAGTGTAGTTTTTGGTATATCTAACTTGGTATGTTTATTGTTTTTTGTAGAAATTTTTTTCGGCTTCATTGACATTAAGGAATAAAGTTAGCCTAGCCACTACAATTGCTTCGAAGCTTTCACCTGCACAAAGAAAATTGTTTGAAGAAACCTGCTTCGGGCCATGGCTGAGAGTACAGCATCCGGGTGGAGATGCTAGTTTGACCCATTTGTGGCTTCAGACTATGACTAGCGATCTACCCGACAGTATACAACGTGGTGAGGAAGAGATATGGTTTCATTTTCCACCGGCGTATACTTGTTTTGGGCGGAAGGAGTTCTGCTTAATCACTGGTCTACGATTCGGACACGATGATGTAGGCCGGTACACTCGTCATATCACCCGCCCATCATGGTTATCCAGGGTTTTTCCTGATGAGTCAATAGAGAAGCCGAACTTACACGTCGACGACATGAAGAAATTGTTTAATAAGAAAGATGGTTTTACTCGGATGAATGACGTCGATGTTGTCCGAGTATGCCTTCTACTACTTTTGTATGCCGGCTTTTTAGGTAGAGAGGCCAGACAACCTATTCCTCAGGAGCTAATATTATTGGTAGATGACCTAAATGCATGGAATCTGTTTCTGTGGGGTTCGTATATATGGAAAGCTACCTGGACTAAGTTGTCGTCTGCCTTTGATGACCGCAAAAGTTTGCGGGGCGATGGGTCGAAATACACTTTGTCAGGCTTTGTTTGGGCCTTTAAGGTAAGAATTTCTATATAATATTTTCAAAATTATAATTAATTATTTAACAATTACTAATGTTTGTTATTATATTGTTTGTAGATTTGGATATTCGAGGCCTTTCCCGCCATGAAGACATATGCAATAAAAACTTCAAATGATATTCCCAGGGCTATTTCCTGGAAGAGGAAACGTCTGTTGGATTGGGAAGACTTAATACCATATGCGACAATAAATAATGTAAGTTAACACAAATACTATCATATATAAACAAGTTATTAATAGTAGACGTTTAACTTTGTTTGAGTTTTTATATTTTTAGGAGGCCAACATTCCATTAATGAGACTGATACCCACGAAGGCTGAGCTTGCCACTGATTGGTGGCAAGCTAGTCAGCGTTTTCTTGATGGCACGAATGATGAGCAGCCTTCACTTCCTCCACTTCGAGAGCCATCACCTGATCGACCCGACTATACACCTCTACAACGAGAGCCATCACCTATCCCGTCACATCATCGAGCCTCTTCTCCACCATCACCTCATGATAGGCGACCGGCAAAGATTCCACGACTTATATCTCCCTATTCTCCACCTCCATGGGATGAGTTAAGGGAGTTACGTGATGAGGTCAATGCCTTGCGTGAGGAGATCGGTACTCTACTTAATAACGATGGTGCATGACGTGTGGAGGTGTCTACTTTACGTGGTGAGGTTACCGCTCTACGTGAGATGGTAGTATCGTTGCAGAATGAGGTTCATACTCTACGCAACGAGGTAAGTTTAAGATTTTCCATATTTAACTTGATGATAAATTTACTCGTAATTTCACTTAAATTAACCATTTCACTTAGATTGCTTAGTAAATTTATTCGGTTGCTGCCAAAACTGCTAAACTTTTTACTTTAACACTGTGAAGTTAGTATTTGTCTTTGTTTTGTCTTTTGGTTGAAAGTTTGAAATATATTTATCTTTGTTTTCACTGTTTAAATATCATGTCTGTTTATTTACTGATATTTGTATTTAATTATTTAGCGGACCGATAAGGTGGATGCTTTACGTCGTGTTTTTCTTGCACGACAGAGTTCACGCATCAGACGGCGTGCACGTGCTATTAAGTCTTCGTATACCCCAATAGTGCGAAGACACCGCAAGAAGAAGCCCGACTCGCCTGTCATCCCTCAAGAGTCCACTCCTATCGTTGAAGAGGCCCCTATCATTCCTCGAGAGTCCCCTCCCACCGTTCAAGAGGCCACTGTCATCGTTGAAGAGGTCCCTCCCACCATTCAAGAGCCCGATTCACATGGCGTCATATGTAGGATTCTTGAGAAACCCTCTGACGTGCCGGACATGATGGATTCAAGTTGGCTCTCGTATGAGTTACCAGCCAGTACCATACCGGTATCTGAAGAGGAGAGGAAACAACTACCGGACACAATTCTGGATAACACCCTTTGGGCTAAGACCGCAGTTGATTTTTATCTACATGAGCGAAGCCAGGGGTGTTTCACTGACATATGCAAGCTCAATGATGATATCTATTTGTTGCTTGATCGGTCTTGGTGGGGCGTATTATTAGGGGTCGAAGACAATGGCTATTTCGATGGAGGGGTAAGTCTTATATTTTTCTTATATTTTCATTTGATTGTTTTTTTGTAAATTTATGTAAGTTACTAATATATGTCTTTTTTTGTAAAACAACATATCGATGTGTGGGTGTCACGTCTTCTAATAATTAGGAAACTTAAGGAAAATAAAAGAAATACACGATATACAATTATGTCGACGTCTTTTAACGCCGTTCACTTGAAGAATCAACGAGATGAATCATTTGCGTTGGGCAATGGACAAGCTAAACTTTATCCTGCATGGTGAGAGGTCGATAAGGTTAGTGTTTATTTTAGATTGAGTTTAAAGGTATTCATAAATAAGTGCGCAAATGAATGAATTATTACTTATGATTGTAGGTGTTTATCCCTGTTTTGGAACGTAACTATTGGCTTCTCGTCGAGCTTCAGATCCCATCCCTTAAGGCAATAGTATATGACAGCATGATAAATTACATATCATTGGCTGATTTAAGAGCTCTTATTTGGCTAAATTCTTGGATGGACTCGTTCTGGAAACAAGAAGCCAAAGAAGCTCAATATTACAGTTAGCAGAGACGAGACCGCACCACAACAAACGAAATGACCCAGAGGGGATTGTGGTCCCCTCGTATGCTTGGCGTTGGACCGTTTGATCACAGGAAGTATAAAGTATCTACCTCTCACCGATATAGATAGAGCTGCAGTAGGCTTGTGGTTTCGACATTATATGGCTAGATCAATATATACGAGACGCTGCCTACCTGCATCCGCGTTATAAAAATGTCCATAAACAATTGGTATGTTTATAGGCTTGTGGTTTGAAAATGTTTGGTTAAGTACCTAGAATTCAATAATTTGTTGTTTGTAGGTTTTAGATGTGTAGAAAGTGTTGTTTGAGCAAATGTTTGGTTTATGCAGGTTAATCTCAGAAGTGAGCTGCGTGAAAATGATGTATGGCTGCAAAAGTTGATTCAATAGTAGAAGTGTTATTTTCTCTAATAATTATTGCTT